GTTTGAAATATAATGATTCATATCTCCGAGGCTGTGACTTGTGTCCTTGACTCAACTGGCTAGGACAGACTGCGAAGCAGTGCCAATCGGGGCATTAGGTCGTCCACTCTGTGTTTTGCGTGTCACTGTCACAGGAGCGATCGATAAATACGCTGCTTATCAAAACCTGCAGTCTCAAACCCGTTATAACACTCTCAAGTCGCAAATAAGTCAGCACAGTCTGTACCGATGAATAATATGTCATCGAGATAGACCGCAGTAGCTGGAATATCTTGTAGCACGGTGTTCATAACTTGTTGAGAGATTGAAGCGGCGGTCTTTACTCCGAACAGAAGTCTGTTATGTCGGAACAACACTTTATGAGTGTTTACTGTCAAGTAATGCTTACACTCTTCCGCCACTGTAATCTGTAGGTCCAGTTTTGCAAAATACTACCCCCATTCAGTTTCGCAAATAAGTCTTCTGGTAACATTGAAGTGTACTGATAGGTTTCAAGTAATCCAGTGACATAATTTGCGCATAGCCAGATGCCTCCAATATGCTATTTAACAATCACTATTGGTGCTGCTCAATCAGAAAAAATCACTGGTCCTGTGGTTGCACTTCTTTGCAGGCGTTCCGATTCTTGTTCAAAAATAGGTAGCGCTGCATAATGTACAGGTCTTTTGCATCGAGAGTAGTTCCATGTTTGAGGGTTAATAATGCTTTGGTCTTCGTACATTCTCCCAATCGTTCTTTAAACCGGTGTTCGTTTACAGCAACATAAATTTGGTCACGCAAGTTCACTAATTCCAGATGAAGAAGCAGATAGGTAAGACATCTACATTAAGTCGAACGCGGAAAAATCATACGATGTATCAAAGCAAGCAGTGATAAGAGCCGTTTCGTTAACAGACCTGCAAACCGTCGAGCAGCTGCTCAGTTGAGTGCGAATCGAAGACAGGATTTGATCGCAGTCAAAAAATTTATGAGTAGTATAATCGGGGACAGAAAGTCGATGGATCCGACGACTCCCACTGAATGTCCAACAGATCCTTGCATTCGGGATAGCGATGCAGACATAGACAACATCACTAAAATAGCCGATAGGCTTTATGAGACAAAGGCACAACATCACAGAAGATGAAAGAATCGATGCATTACAAAAACAGATCAATGTTATGTGCCACAAACTGAACCTAAATCAGAGAGATAGAAACCGATTGTGCTCTGGGAGACGCTCAGCTCCTACAATATCCCGGTACTATCACCGTCCGACGTCAGAGCGCGAAAATATAAATCATGCAAATTTAAACGATCTCATCGGTTGTCGGAAAAGGCTGCGACATCTAACACAGCTCCTAGAAACAATAGTTTATGTACAGGACAGAGTAACAGGAGGTCGATTCTTAGTAGACACGGTGGGAGGGATAATCGTCGTGCCCCCAGTGAGCGACAAACATTAGTGCGACACTAACCCTGATGCAGCAAACAAATCCTATATAAAAACACATGGAAAGCGACAACAAACCTTGAATTTTGGTAGTAGTACTTCATTTTGGTGGTAATTCATTGTCGCAGATGTATTCGTGCCTATAATTGGTATTGATTTCTTCAAGAATCTCAACTTACTAGTGGATTCCCGACGAAACGGGCTGGTGAATGGAGACCATTCAATAGTGATAAAAAGAGTGACCACCGATCACGTATCTATGAATTTAGTAGTGTGAAAAGACGAAAGAGAGTGATATAGGTAGTAGTAGTAGTCAACAGAATTGGCGAGGGCACCATATTCTAACGAAATACCCACCGACAAATGCAAGACCCCGAAGGTTAGACCCAAAAATTGCTAAACGAAAACTCCAAAAATTGATGATCACAAGGCTATCTAACAGTTCCTGGTCATCCCCGTTGCATATGGTTCAGGCCATGTGGAGATTGTAGAACCCTTAACAAACAAACCGTGGCAAATAGATATCCGGCGCCGCACATCCACCACATTACTACTGATATGGAAGATTCCTCGAACTTTTCAAACATTGATCTTGTTCGGGCTTATTACATTCCCATGGCGCCAGAAGATATAACAAGAACGGGAAATGCCCTTTGAATTAACTAATGCAGCCCAAACCTCCCAGCAATTCATTGGTCAGGTGGTTGGAGGTTTGACAGAAGTATACGCACATATCGATGATATACCAGTAGCCAGCGCTACTGTAGCAAATCTACGACAGTTGTTTCTGAAACTTCAAGAACATGGCATCACTATTGAGGTGGAATAGTGAGTTTGGAAAGGAATCAATGCAATTCCTGAGTCATATGATAAATTCTCAAGGTATAATGCCAGTTCCAACAGAGGGTGCTCCTATTCGTAGTTATCCGTTTCCCGAACCACAAAAGAAATTACGACCATTGTTGGGACCAATAAATTATTACGGAAAATTTATTCCAAACTGCGCAATAATATTACAAACATTAACGGACACTTTACGAGGACATACCCGAAAATTTCATCTGTCAATATGGGCTATATAGGGATATAAGAACGCTAAGCAAGTGCTATATAAAACGAAGTTAGTACCAGCCGTGATGACAAACGCATAGAACATAGCAATGTGGGCCATACTGCAGCAGTTGGTAAACGGCACATTGGAACCACTTTCGCTTTCGGAGAATTTTTATCGACTTACTTAGCGATAAAGCATTTCCGACATATGATAGAGGGTACCATTTTCACAGTGTATACAGATCATAAACCCGTCACGAAAGCATTAAATGTCAGGCAAGATAACTATTCGCCGAGGGAAATTCGAATTTATTTCCCAATTTATGTCTAGCATACAGGATATTAAAGGTAATAATAACGAAGTGGCACATGCGTTTCCCAGAACAATGATAAACGCCCTCATCCAATATGAAATCCTTTATCAAAAATTACCAGCATTGCGAAATATGGATGTTGAGCTAGACAGACTAGGGTCTGCCAACACAACCACTTTGGCACTAAAAGAAATTCCATTCGAAAAAGTAAGCATCACGTGTGCTACTTCTACGGGCCAACAACGACCATTTATTCCTAATCCACTAAGATAAAAAGTTTTTGGAGCTATGAATAAAATATCGCATCCTGGGATAAAAGCCACAGTCAAACTAATCAGCGAGTGTTTTGTATGGCTAAATTAAGACACATTGTTACATTAGTTCCGCAGTAAGTCTTTTCCGTCATCCTGATAGCACGTTCAAGCATATACATGTCGATATTGTCGGACCGCTGACGATTTTACATGGTTTTAGTTATATTTTCACCTGCATTGATAGATTCACGTGATGGCCTATAGCAGTGTCCATGAAAGACAAATTCAGCTGAAACAAGAATCCAGTAACGACAAAATATGGTCACAACGACACAGCTATCATTCGTATAAACTTCTAAAAGCACTTACTGTAATTTAATGATCTTACGTTATTACCTTATTTAGCCTCACAGACATAAACGAACTGAAGCTTACACGTATTTGTAATAACTTACATGTTATTTACTATCATACTTCTTAATTTCGTAAATTTCGAATATCACTTGGTATTAAGTAAGTAAGTAAGTAAGTAAGTAAGTAAGTAAGTAAGTAAGTAAGTAAGTAAGTAAGTAAGTAAGTAAGTAAGTAAGTAAGTAAGTAAGTAAGTAAGTAAGTAAGTAAGTAAGTAAGTAAGTAAGTAAGTAAGTAAGTAAGTAAGTAAGTAAGTAAGTAAGTAAGTAAGTAAGTAAGTAAGTAAGTAAGTAAGTAAGTAAGTAAGTAAGTAAGTAAGTAAGTAAGTAAGTAAGTAAGTAAGTAAGTAAGTAAGTAAGTAAGTAAGTAAGTAAGTAAGTAAGTAAGTAAGTAAGTAAGTAAGTAAGTAAGTAAGTAAGTAAGTAAGTAAGTAAGTAAGTAAGTAAGTAAGTAAGTAAGTAAGTAAGTAAGTAAGTAAGTAAGTAAGTAAGTAAGTAAGTAAGTAAGTAAGTAAGTAAGTAAGTAAGTAAGTAAGTAAGTAAGTAAGTAAGTAAGTAAGTAAGTAAGTAAGTAAGTAAGTAAGTAAGTAAGTAAGTAAGTAAGTAAGTCAGTAAGTAAGTAAGTAAGTAAGTAAGTAAGTAAGTAAGTAAGTAAGTAAGTAAGTAAGTAAGTAAGTAAGTAAGTAAGTAAGTAAGTAAGTAAGTAAGTAAGTAAGTAAGTAAGTAAGTAAGTAAGTAAGTAAGTAAGTAAGTAAGTAAGTAAGTAAGTAAGTAAGTAAGTAAGTAAGTAAGTAAGTAAGTAAGTAAGTAAGTAAGTAAGTAAGTAAGTAAGTAAGTAAGTAAGTAAGTAAGTAAGTAAGTAAGTAAGTAAGTAAGTAAGTAAGTAAGTAAGTAAGTAAGTAAGTAAGTAAGTAAGTAAGTAAGTAAGTAAGTAAGTAAGTAAGTAAGTAAGTAAGTAAGTAAGTAAGTAAGTAAGTAAGTAAGTAAGTAAGTAAGTAAGTAAGTAAGTAAGTAAGTAAGTAAGTAAGTAAGTAAGTAAGTAAGTAAGTAAGTAAGTATATATTATCAATGAGTAATTACAAAAGATGAATTAAACAGAAAATGTAACAGTAAAATTAGCTTCATATGTACAACGATTCATGTAAATATGAAGTGAGAAACAATTGAGAATCCACATGAAACTCAAAATCAAATTACTCAATCAATAATGAGTAATTGAACTGACAATGATCGGGATCATCACTTTTTGCCATTAAAGATCACTTGAAGAATAATCAATCAGATCAAATTTCAAGGGTTAAGCATGAAATAATCATGATATAAAATATATTTGATGAATTTGTAGAATAGCTGCATTGAAAGTAGGAAGAGGTTACTTAAGAATTGAAATGCGGAAAACAAACTTGATTGTAATCCTGTAAAAATAGAATTCAATGATCATCAATCCTAGTGAAATGCACAAGAATAAGAGAAAATATAATGTGGACCAATGAGAAATGAAGGTATATATGGGTACAACAACAACAACAACAACCAATTACTGTTTTGTTGCCATCACTAATGAAGTTAAATCAGTCGGAGGTTTTAAATGAACATTACGTTGTCGAGTTAAAAATGATAAATTAGTTTCTGTATTATAACATGATAGAAAATTATTGAATTTTTCAAGAGAAGAATTATGACAATTTTGTTTTAGATCGGATTCAATTAAATTTTTAGTTGATTTAATTACTAAATTATACCATGCAGTTAAAAGAATACGTTCTTCAGTTTCATGATGACGTCTCATTTGTTCATGATGAGTCTATAAATATTATTAAAAAAAAAGAATAGAATTCAAAAAAAATGTAAAAAAAAAAACCTTGAATCATTGAAACAAAAAGAAACAATGAACAATTAACAGAAGAAGTTAACACTAACCAGTTTCATCATATATTTATCTATTGGAAGTCTTCTAGAACTCTTCAGACGCGAACTGTCATCAGAATTGATTACCTCAATTGGTGTTCGTCAGGCCTGTCCACTCTCCCCATCCTTGTTCAACTTTGTCATTGACATACTTTTAGAGATAACACTCTCCTCATCTAAATTTCCAGGGGTTGAACTTCTACCGGGAAGTTCACTTGTTGACTTAGAATATGCAGATAACATAATTTTATTTGGTGAAGACGCTGACAAAATGCAGAGTCTTATGACCACTCTAAGCAACAATGCAAGCATGTTCGGCATGCGATTCTCTCCCTCGAAATGCTTCAGGATTGGGTTACATCGACACCCGAACTAGTGATAGGGAGTGAAGTAGTTGAGTGTGTCGACCGCTTCATTTATCTTGGAAGTCTCATCAGCCCTTGTGGTTTAGTGTGTGACGAAATCTCAGCACGGATACAGAAGGCTCGACTAGCCTTTGCCAACTTGCGTCATTTATGGCGTAGGCGAGATATCCGTCTATCAACCAAATGACTTGTTTACTGCGCAGCAGTTCGTCCCGTCCTACTTTATGGCAGTGAAACATGGCCGGTAAGAGTAGAGGATATTCGTAGGTTACTAGTATTTGATCATAGGTGTCTTCGAAATATTGCTCGTATATCATGGGACCATCGAGTAAGTAATGCAGTTGTTAGGAAACGGGTACTAGGTAAGGATGGCAAATCAATTGATGAAGTAGTGAAACTTCATCAGTTGAGATGGCTGGGACACGTGTTACGTATGCCCAACCACCGACTGCACCGACGTGCTATGTTCAGTGGTATAGGAGTAGGTTGGAAGAAAGCTAGGGGCGGCCAAACCAAAACATGGCACAAGTCCATGAAGTCACTGACAAGTGAACTGAGTCATGTTGGTAGGTGTAGACTACCTGGTTGGGGACCGCAAGACGATAGTAACAGATGGTTAGAGACCTTGAATGACATGGTTCAGAATCGCTTGCAATGACACAGGTGCATCCACTCTTTGTGTTCTCCCAAATTCTAATCTTCTGAATTCTTCATGTCCCTTTTTTCCTCTTTCCAAATTTATTTCACTGTATTATATTCTTTAAATAATATCTCCAAACCCTAATCTTCCCCATTACTGCTTATACTCTTGCTACCTCTACCACTACGGGATTTGAATCGACAACTGCATCTCTGTGCTAAGGTGGTTTGGCGACTCGAACTGATGTACGTACGTACGAAGTTCTACGTTGTTACTGACTGACTGAGATATTGATACAAAGGGGCACTGAATACATATGCGCCACACAAATCTCATTTGATTTGTGTGAGGTCTGTGAGACTGCCCGAGCACCCAAACCGAAGCAGGTTGTTTCATTCGGAGGTCACACTCGGAGACTTCGACCTGAAGGTCTGATACACAAAACAGTGGAGCATCGCAAGGAAATGCACTCCCATGGTAGCCGGTGACGAACGATTGGTCCATACACCATTTGTTCCTTCAGGATACTGGAGCCCATGTGCACCATTGGTTTGTAATCCGGTTATTCCATCTCCACTAGGCGGACTCCTCATGTCCACCAACCCGGATATTCGCTTTTTGTCTTCTCAATGAGTAGGACTTTCCTGACAGACGCTGTGTACGTGTGGCCATGTGAGAGCATTTCGAGAGGAAGAGCGAACTCTTCCCATTCTCGGCCGTACCAGAGTATTTGAGGGCATGAATGAGTACAGAAGTACCTAATACTCGTATAGAAATTGATTTGGTTCTAGCAAGAACAACAAATAAACTAGAGTAAAAAATATTGACAAAATATCAATCACTCATATATGAAGTTATCCTTTTTAGACCAGTAAATAACGCTACTTACCTCTAATTTCTCAATAACACGTTCTTTTTCAACTAATAACATACGTAAATAATTAATTTCTTCATTTAATTTATCATTATTTCTACTATTGTTGTTAACATCAGTACTATTAGTATTGTTTATATCAATGATTATTTTCTCTTTATATTGTGGACAATTATGTTGATGTTGTCGATATTGACGTTCTAACAATCGTATCACTTCACGTGCTTTCCATAAATAACCACGATATTTTTGTTCCATTTCAATGTAATCTGTTTCTTTTTGTGTTAATTTTGTCATTAAATTTGTATATAACAATGTAGTGACAGCAGATGGATTATTCATATCTTTATCAATATGATTATGATAAGAATTTGTTGATGATGTTTGTAAATTATGTGTACTGGTAGAATGATTATCATTGACAGTTAATGAATGACAATCATTATTATTAGTATTCAGTTTGTTTTGTGATGTTACAGACATATTGAAATGATGAACATCATTATCATCAACAAAACCAGTATCATTGTCTAATATACCAGTCGTAATAGTAGTAGTAGTACTAGTAGTAGTATTGCCGCCAACTTCGTTCATACTGTTACCAACATTCACATCACTAACATACATTGATGTACGTAAACGACATAGTTCTTCTTGTAAATTTAACATTTGTGATTCCATTGCTGGTGTATCATCTAGCAGATAAGTAACGGAAAACAATTTACTTAAGATGATAATGAATATCATTAACAAACAAGAGAATGAGTGTACTAAATTCAATAAGTAACTCAACAGAAATTGTAGTTAGTTGAAAGTTTTAGTTCAGTTAGAAATGTAGCAAAAGAAAAACGAACTCAATATCATCATCACATGAATGAGTGTATAATAAAAACAATACAATATAATAAAAGAAACGGGGTCGATCGTTTCTGTTCTAAGCTATACTGTAATAAGTTAAGTTATGCAATAATCACAAATGAACTCAAGTTAGGTACATGTGAACAATTAGATAACTATTGATTGATCTGAATGCTAAGCTTTTGGTGCAAGGCCTAAAGATCATGGGCTAGATGAATGGTAAGGTTATAGATGACCACTGCTAAGAAGCACAATATTAGGATGAATACCCGGTGATCTCAAGAAGGTCCTAAGAAGCTCGAAAAGAGCCGAAGACATTCCATTTAATCATGTTTTCGAAGAACATTCCAGAATCTTCACGTACAACTGTCCGATTGGACAGATACTAAAAAGTACTGCACATAGATTGGATCATTGTAATGATGATTTCGTTTTTATTGTAAGCTATAAATACCTAAGTAGTTATACCATAAGTGACACTGTTTGGAATAACATTTCTTGCCACTAGTCTTTTGTCTTCAAACTTGCGACGTAGAGAGTTCTACAGCTCAAGTTGGACGCAGTAAAGCAGGATGAAACACATATCCAATGCTCAACAGTTGCCTGATTTACATTGGTTCATGATTTCAATAATAACAAATTACTGAATAGCTCACAATGATGAACATAACTATTTTTCTTAGCGTCAAAAAACCAACACAGTACCAAAATTAATGACACCTAACCCGATAAGATGAAATTAATTAATGTGCACCGTTCAAAGTTGAGCGAGAGCTTCACTTCAAAACAATAATTTACGCAAACTGTAAGTTTGCTCATCCACATGACTCAATAACGAGAAGTCTAGTTCAATGCCACAGAATGAGTCAATGATTCATCTGATTCCAGGTACAATAAACTATACCTTGTAGAAATACTTCTCTTACAGATAGAATTTCAATTAATCAGCAAATATCCAACAGTAGCGGCCACTCTAACCTGATGATGAGCCTTGCTCATCGTGATGTGATTCATTCGAGTATGTTGACTAGAACGTTGGCATCTTAAGGTCTGACTATGCCAAGCAGTCTAGTGAAACGGTAGTACAATTACAGGTAAGCAAGAGAAGTTGTACTACCAACAGCATAGAGATGTGACATAATTGAGGTGTTAAACTGAAGCAACCACAATCTGGAGAGACGCTGCCCTCTCATACCTCATCGTGTACCATTGATTTTCGCTGTCGACAGTGCGGTCTGTAAATTAATGATCTAACGTATGAAAAGCGAATCACCGTAAAGAGGCTATGTTATATTCGAAAAGAACGACAACTGATAGGGACCATTCATGGACTGTTATGATATATATATCCGTATTGTATAACGACTAAGTAACTAGATTATATGTATTTATATTACTTTTATCATAAGTTTTTATTTGACTTGTTGACTACCATCATACAATTTATTATTCATAAGGTGATCCCAATCACAATGACAGTCACATTGAACTTGATACTGTATAGTTGTCATCTTTTATTTGTTATGTAATGTAATGTGATCTGCTTTGCATGGATATAAATCAAATATGTGTGAAATATATGGTCCATAGAGTGGAAGCTGATATTGGTGTTATATATATATATATATGTTCCCTCGAGTTTATGACAATATTTCCAAGTTGACAAGTTATATTTATTTAAACAATATAAACGTTGTATCAAGGAGACATCAAATTTATATTCTGGGATACTACCCGAGAAAACAAACCGAAGAAGGTACTTTTCTTAGGAAGGCGTACCTCGAGTCCTTCGCCTAAAGACCTAATCCACAAGGCAGTGGAGCAACGTCAAGTGATGCAGTCCCTCGGTAGCCAATGAACAACAGTAGATTTATACGTATTTTTTCTCCAGCATCCTGGAGAACATGTGCACCATTGGTTTGGAATCAGTGTTTTTAACTCCTGTACGTAAATCCTTCATATCCACCAACCCGGATATTTGCTTTTTGTCCTCTCCATTCTGTAAACAACACCCTCGCCACGAGAAGGTAGTGAGCAGGAATTATCTAACATTGGCCGTAAACGCGTAGCCGTGTGAGAGCATTTTGAGAGGGACGGAAGACTCTCCCCACTCTCGTTTGTGCATGGGTATTTAGGGCCCGGTTGATAAGACCACTTATCTCAATTCAGTTTCTTTTTCGAGTCCGTGAAAACAGACATCGTTCAACGGTATGAGTTACCGGAAAGTGAAGTCCGCCTCTATAACGCCTTATCAATATTCGAGATCACCAGATCTTAAAATGTATGGAATAAATGCGAAATTCATTCACGAAGTACTCATCGATAAGTAGGATAATTTTTAATCAAAAAGTTAATTAATAAGTCAATTCCACAGGACACACTTACAATTTGATGCTTGTGCACATGATTGAAGACCTTCACAACAAGATTTAAGACGAGTAAGTTCAGAGAAGATACACTGAAAAATAACGGAGAAGCAGAAACGGAAACGTGGTAAAGTATCAATATATTTGTCATGTAAGAATGAATATATTTCCCATTGATATATAAACACAACAGACGAAATAAATGTTTGTGACATAACCAGGCATTTGTAAATGAATATATACATGTACGGATCAAAGAAGTAATCTCATAGGCAAAACAAAATCAGGGTCAAAACACTAAAAGATGCCATTCATTTATATTCTTAATGTCGTTTGTCCTATAAAATAGAGATGGTTGGGCCATGTGTTGCGTATGCGTGAACACCGATTACCACGACGTGCAATGCTAACCGGTGTTGGGGATGGTTGGAAGAAAGTTAGGGGCGGCCAAACCAAAACGTCGCATCAGTGCTTGAAGTCACTAACTTTTAGTCTGAGCCATGTTGGTAGATGCAGACTACTTGGTTGGGGCTTGAAGATTATAATCCAGTGAAATAAATTTGAAAAGAAAATAAGGGACATGAAGAAATCAGAAGATTATAACTTGGGGGAGCACAAAGAGTGGATGCACTTGCGCCATTGCAAACGATTTTGAGCCATGTCATTCAGGGTCTCTAACCATCGGTTGCTATCACTTCACGGTCCCCAACCAGGAAGTCTACACCTACCAACATCACTCAATCCACTTGTCAGTGACTTCATGGACTTGTGCCATGTTTTGGTCTGGCGCCCCTATCTTTCTTCCAACCTATTACTACAAAGTAAAACATAGCACTTCGAGGCAGTCGGTGGTTAGGCATCTCAACTGATGAAGTTTCACCACTTCATCGATTGAGTTGCCATCCTTACCTAGTACCCGATTCCTAACAACTGAGTTACATACATATTCCGAAAGTATAAAGGTATTTACAAAGATTTTCATTTACCCGTTATTCAATTGATTTGTTTTGTTAATCAATAGCCTTTAAATATTGATAATCAGTTTGATAATTCCACATGTAATGTAGACAAATGTAGCCTGAATAGTGGGACCTTTTAATTAGTCAGTAGTCAGTCAGCGGCGACGTAGGACCAAGCACGTATATACAAGTCCAAGTTGCCATACCTCATCAACACAACAGAATGAACACCGGATTCATAAAAGTAGTTAATTCAGAGGTGGTAATATATAAAAGAAAGATTGCATATAAGGATATAGTACAGGAAGAAAGAATTTGTTATGTCTCAAAGTGACAGCCGATTATATGACAGTGACTTATCGATCGGACCAAGGATTCAGAATCTCGATAGTCTATTCTGGTCCGTTGTCCCCAACTCTGCTAACTCGATCAAGAAGTCTGGGTAAGGTGTAAAAAGTGTATTCTACAGACAAACAGCAGATAACAAGTCAAGTCAAGCACACAAGTCAAGCGTATTTATACAAATATTTACAATCGATATTGTCATGGAAGATTTTTGGACATTAATCAACAATTGACTGCTATTTGAACATTTAATCGATAGTTCATCAATTGACCTATCTGCATATTTAATCGATAAGTAAATTACAAAATTTGAGTTTTGGGGATCTATCGTCCCCAACAGAATTAGTTCGTAGAATGAAAGATATGAGGCGATTTTAATCTCTTAGTTTAAGGGAAGACAGAGAGCGTATACAACTATGTCATTGTGATCGATTCTGAGCCATGTTACCAAGAATCTCCAACCATTGGTTACGATGGTCACGCGGACCCCAACCAAGTAGTCTGCATCTACCAACATGGCTCAGACTAGAAGTTAGTGACTTCAAGCACTGATGCGACTTTTTGGTTTGGCCGCCCCTAACTTTCTTCCAACCATCTCCAACACCGGTTAGCATTGCACGTCGTTTTAATCGGTGTTCAGGCATACGTAATACGTGGCCCAACCATCTCGGTCGATGAAGATTCACAACCTCATCAACTGATTTACCATCATTCCCTAATACCCTGCGTCTAACCTCACTATTACTTACCCGGTGATCCCAGCAGACGCCAGCAATATTTCTAAGGCATCTGTGGTCAAATACTAATAGCTTACGAGTGTCTTCTACTCTTATTGGCCATATTTCGCTACCGTTAATTAAAACAGAACGGACTGCCGCGCAGTATACTCGTCCTTTTATCGTGATCGATGTAAACCAAAAAAATGAGTAAATAATATCATGGATGAACATTGTTGAGGAGCCCATACTAGGAAGAAACCTACACTTCACAACCCTATATATATACTGATAATAATAGAAGTACTTTGATAATTGTGTAGAACTATTCAATAACATCAATAATGTATCAAATGCTTTATATGAAACTGAAAAGCGAAACATAAAACATAACTTCACAGTAAAATAGAAAAACATACATACCTCTTTTTCACGATTTACATTAATTAATTCTTGTCGAATTTTTAATAAATTTTGTTCAGCTAATTCAGCACGTTTTATTGCTTCATTTGCTAAGAATTGTGCATCTTCTATTTGTAAACGTGCTTGAGCTTTTACTTTTGATCGTATATTCCCATCTAAACGTGTTTCTTGTTCTAATTCAGTTAAACGTTGTACACAAATTTGATTATCATTTTCTAATTGTGAACAACGTAAACGTAAACTAACTACTTCATCAGCATGTTTACGTAATTGTTCAATAGTTGTAGATAAACGTAATATATTAGATGCTTCTTCACGAGCAATATCTAATTCATCTTTTAAATGAATACTTTCTTCTGCTTTTGCCGTTAAAATGGTACACTACAGTAGTAGAAAGTGAAGGAGAGAGAAAAGATACAACAACAAGAAGACAGTTGAATAGAGCATCTATGTGCATGATTAACATTTCAATGCATTAATGTTCCGTTGTAATGTATTGATTTAAATTATTTACCAAGTGTTTATGTAAATTGGTTTGCTAAAGTTGTTGAATTCTACAGATTGGAACACGGATTGATCATTGAATACAAGGAATAACTGGATAGTTGTTTTAACTTAGCATAAAACTCCTCAATAGTGATAGGCATACATGACCTCAACCTAGTACCTTATTGACTTCTTGATGACTGTCCTACAAATGATTCGTTCATATTTTTATTTATTTATTTGAAAACAAAAGAGGGCACCAAATATATATGCGCTACACAAAACATTGAGAATTTGAAGAGAAGGAAAAAAAGAAAGGTTGGGAGCGTTAGAAAAAAAAGAACAATAACGAACAGACTAGTGTAGGGTAGTGTAATAATAATAATAATAATGGGGGAAACAAAAACGTACAATCAGAAGAGATTTTTCAGTTAAGGAAGAAGCAACCACTTTTTATGAAGAAAGTAAAGGAAGGTTACAGAAGGATTGCCACAGGCTCCTATTCTGAGCCATATCTGATAACGTCTCTAGTCACTGTGTTGCACCATCTCTCGGACCCCAGCCAGGAAGTCGTTTGGCGGAGGGTGAATATATGATCAATACATCCTCGACCGGAACAAAAACTAGCCTGCTCCTCGCGAGTCAATCTTTCTCGGGTTTTGAACAACCTACGAAGTATGACGGAAGCCAATAGCTTGGACGCCATCGGAAGTAGACTTATCCCCCGATAGTTGTAACAGGAACGACGTGAACCCTTTTTAAAGATAGGGACAACTATCGACTCATTCCATGATGTTGGTACCCTTTCTAGTTCCCAGACCTTTGTTCATATGACAACTGACTTTTAGATATCCTATAGTTGCATGTACACATGTCCAGGTTTATTAATACGACTAATCGGCGAATAAACTAAACTATCTGGAGCAATATTGAAACTTAGAATTATTTAGGCATTCAACTAATGTCTAACTCTACATACTTCATTAATTTGCTTTATATAATTACTATACTGGAAGTTTCATTATTTGTGTTCGTTGAATAAGTGATAGAATATTGTTGTAGTTATATACAATTTTTTTGTTTTATTAAACATACATTTTATTAGGAGTAATCATGACAGTATTGATACTTAGGAAGATCATGGTAATTTGCATGAATGAAGGGGATATGATCAACTGTCAAGTATATGTATATATGCGCCATAGAATGTACCTACAGATTAGTGGATCCAACAAATATACACGTAATACACCAGTTGTATCTTGTATTACTCTAATTGGATAGCTATCAAACTGCATACATAATCATTATTCGTTCCAACTAGTCAGTGTTATCAAGATATTCAACACTGGGAACATGTGTTATCAATACAAACTCACATGCATATCTCTCTTTATCTCCTCCTTGACACTGGATGACGGAATTTATATTCTATTATGAGTTTTCATGTAGTTTATTTAAAAGAAGTCGACAAGTTCATAATGCTACTATAACTATCAACCATAGGTAAACATTCAATGTAGATCCGGAAACAGTAAAAGACTGTTTCGTCCTAACAAAAGACTACTCAATGGCAGTGAATATGAACATCATATGCACTAACTCACACAAAACTAGCAGGTACCAAGTGTATAACTCTCAGATCAATGTAGAGTAAGCGCGTCAAAACAGTTTAAATTCAATAAACATTGAACATTAATAACTATTATTTACCTACTTTTTGTTTTAATTCAAGATTTTGTGCAGTAACTTCGGTTAATTGAATTTTTAATTCTTCTTTATCTAAATCATGATTTTGTATAATAGAGAACAGATGAAGTAAAGAAAACAGCCATTAAGTGACTATTAAGCCCAAGGAATAGAATATGTGATAAAAATAATGAATATCTTATTATGGTTAAGTAGCGTTACTTTAACTGGATGGTTTAATAATAAGTAGATCAGTCCGACATACACCGAATCAGGTGCACTGAACAAGAACCCAAGACGGGAAAATCAATTTAACCCTTTTTATGTAGTTTTACTCAAAGTCAAAAAGTATGTATGTAAAATATAAAAAAACGTGCATTAAATACATCATTTGTATATCTTCCTCTTTCAGTTGTCTTTTACATATTCCATCACTTTTCCAATCCAGTTGTTATCTCAATCGTCTTCTTTTTCCTTTGCTCTTCACTTTATTCCAATTATCTAATGATAATCATGTGATTTTCAATTCCTGTTACATACTACTACTGTTCGTATAAGTAGCACACACCAAACTGACACAAGTGTGTATATCGATCTCAATTACCATAACGCGGATAAGTACAGTGATATGAAATTTCCAGATCACATAACAGAGTAGTAGAGGTAATAAACAGTATATTAATGACAACAGAAAAGATTAGACATCGAAAATTTCAGTAAAAGGTTGAGGAAATTATTGAATTTCATTGAAATTATGAACCGATCTAAGTTGAATTGCCATTGAAGGCCTGATATTTAACTTCTACGCGGGAATCGGACCCAGCACCCTCAGTCTTGAGTTTTGAGTCGAGGACAACACAGTTGAGGGGTTTAATACTAGAATGAAACAGCCTTTCAGTACTTCCCAACCTTCCGATAGTGATCTGACATAGATCGGTTCATGAGTTGAGTCGCATTTACTGAATTTTTAGATAATAACATCATTATCAGCATAAAATTAAGAAAATAAGCTGGATAAATTTCATTACAATTGACTACAAGCATCTTGTTTTGTCAATACTAACTTCCATTGATGTTTACTATTTTCGATCACTGCCCTTTGATTGTTCATACATTATCTTGATTATTTGATCTGATTCTAAGTTTTATAGTTGTTTACGATTTGACTGAACATATTTTTCTTTACAAAGATAAACTGCTCCAAAACTACAAGAAAGATTACAGTGGAAAGTTGACAGAACAAACTGTTTGTCACATACGTGGAGATTTGAATAGTTCACTGGTATATGAAGATTGTACTGATTTCGTTTGGAAATTTAATGAAGATTTCACGATCAAACTATAATGCTCAGAGAACACAACTCCACTAAAATCATCTACATGAGCTACAAACCATGCCCTTCATTTCAATGAATTATTCGTGTTATAAATTGGATTATGGTGTGCACTACTTATATGGACAGATATAAGTAGTACAAGGCAAAAATGGAAAATAAAATAAAATATCAGTAGAAGATTGGAATGAACAGAAGAGGAAAGAAAACAGAAAACAATTGAAATAACGACTGGATTGGAAGAACAATGAGTATGCAAAGGGCAACTGAAGGAAGATATACAAATGATGTACATAATGCACGATTTTCATATTTTACAAAGGTAGTGATTTTACTTTGAGTAAGACTATATAAGAAGGAATTAATTGGGTTTCCTTTCCTGAATCTTCGTTCACTACAGTACAAGTGGAAGGGAACTTAGGTTGAACAACCTTTAAGAAACAGGATACACTATACAACTGTCATATCTTAATACGGCATTTGTTAGAAGTGAGTGTTCACAATCTTCCCAGAGACCTACCTACAGGTTATATAGCGAGTACTTAAATACAATTTCCACTAATCGTCATCCTAAAAATTCTCAAAAAAAGATACCCGTAAGATAAACAGTAGTTGACGGGTAGAACGAATTCCACAGGCGTATGAAATCTTCGCTGTTTTGACAGTATCATATGATTGGTTGAACTATTTGGAAGCAAAAACAACCTACTGTGAGAAAAAAACTTGTTGATTGATACTGTCAAGTCAGAAAAAGTCATTTACCTAAGGTTTTCATTTCAGCTAAAAACAGACAACAATACACCCTTTATCGTGAAATGACAGACGTAAATATTCAAAACACTGGATGCAACACCATGAGTTCTAAGGTTCAATACTTCCATCCGTCGAGACCTGGAGTTTTAGGATTTAATCTTTAATGTTCTCGTGAAAATGGACACGTTGAGTAGTCGCAAACTAAGATGAAGCAGCTTTCTAATGCATTATGGTTTTCAGTGGTTATATCCAACAAGAGACATACATTGATGAAGAAACTATAAGATTCCACAATCATTACAATTTCCCGCGCACTAATCATTAATTACGATTACTCCAACTAGCCTCAAGATGGATTTCCTGTAGTTCTAATGAGAAGTCATGACCAGTGGAGTTAAGCCGTGTCTGTTGTGAAGGCAATAGTGGACGGCTGCGCAATATCGTAGATTGGTTGAAGTTAAACATTAACACCAATGGATACCGGCTCAGTGGTCTAGAGGTAAAGCGTTCGCGAACGAGACCGAAGGTCCAGCGGTTGAGTTACACATATAGAATCGTTGGTGAGCACTACTGAGAAGTCCCATACCAGGATGAAACGGTCATCCAATGTTTCAATAGTGATCTAACATTGATCCATTTATGATATCAATCGATGCACAACTCTATACTGATGATTATTCAAAGGGAAATTAAATCATTTATATGAAACATAAACAACAAAATAACAGAGGGCGAGTGAAAGAGACAAATAATCAGAAAAGCAACAAAAAAATCTTACCACACTCAGTTCTATACAATTCATCACGTAATTTACTTAATTGATTTTGTAAATGGTTTATGCGTAAATTAGCTATAGTTGGACTCATTAGAACATTATTACTACAAGTAATTGCTGATATGGAACTAGCAGATTGATTTAATAATTCTGTATTGATTGAATTTAAGTCACCTTCAATTGATTCAACTCCTGTTGTAGCTGTAACTACTGAAGATGTTGGAGATGATTGAGAATTAATTGATGTTGTTGCCAATATCGCTGGATTTAAACCCAATGAATTGAAATAAGTTTTAAAACGATTTAATTCAGATTGTTGATGGGACTTTTCGTCTTGTAAATTTAATACCTGATAATAATAATAATAATAATAATAATAATAATAATAATAATAATAAAGATGGTAAGTTCATTAATGAAATATTTGTCGACTTTATCGGCACCATATTCCTACACCAAAGCGTACACAAAGCCACATGGATCTCACCGGATCACAATACACAGAACCAAATCGACCGTATCTGCATCAATAAAAAGTGCACAATGACGATGGTGGACGTGAGAATCAAAGAAGGAGCCAATATAGCATCAGATAATCAATTGCTGGTTGCCAAGATGAAATTGAAACTCAAGAAGCACTGGAAAACGGGGCGGACTCTGTAGGCGCCCAACTTCGAGACCAACAGACAGGATTCCTTGAGGATAGATCGTTTACAGACCAAATCGCAACTCTACGGATCATTGTGGAACAATCAATTGAATGGAATTCATCACTCTACATCAACTTCATTGACTACGAAAAAGCATTTGACAGAGTGGACAGAACAACACTATGGAAGCTTTTTCCACACTACGGCGTGCCTTAGAAGATAGTCGATATTATACGGAATTCCTATGATGGATTAAACTGAAAAACAGTACATGGAGGAGAGTTGACAAAGTCGTTCGAAGTAAAGACCGGCGTCAGCCAAGGCTACTTACTCTCATCCTTTCTCCTTCTCCTGTTGATCGACTGGATTATGAAGACGTCAACATCTGCGGGAAGCATGGGATACAGTGGACAGCTAGGATGTAGCTGGACGATCTAGACTTCGCAGATCATCTGGCTCTTATATCGCACGAGCAACAACAAATGCAAAAGGAGACGACCACTGTATCAACAGCCTCAGCAACAATAGATCTCAACACACACAAAAGGAAAACTAAGATTCTCCGATACAATAAAACATGCGCCAATCACATCACACTTGATGGAGCAGCTCTGGATGATGTAAAAACCTTTATATATCTGGGCAGTATAATTGATGAACACGGTGGACCTGATGCAGATGTGAAGGTGCGGATCGTCAAAGTAAGAGCAGCATATCTACAACTGAAGAACATCTGGAGCTAAAAATAATGTCTCCCAACACCAAAGTCACAACTTTCGATACAAATGTCAAGACACTTCTACTGTATGGGACGAAAACTTGCAGAACTACGAAAGCAATCATCCAGAAGATACAAGTGTTTATTAACGCTTGTCTCTGCAAAATACTTCGGATCCGTTGGCCGGACACTATTAGCAACAACGTACTATGGGAGAGAACAGACCAGATTCCAGTGGAGGAAGAAATCAGGATGAAGCGCTGGAAGTGGATAGGACACACATTGAGGAAAGCGCCCAAATAGGTCACAAGGCAAGCCCTCACTTGGAATCCTCAAGGTCGAAGGAGAAGAACATCAAAGAACACATTAGGTCGAGAAATGCAGACAGAAATGAGAAGGATGAACAGCAATTGGATAGATGTAGAAAGGAAGGTTGAGGATAGAGCCGGTTGGAGAATGCTTGTCGGCGACCTATGCTCCATTGGGGGTAACAGGCGTAAGTAACTTATTGACTTTATCGCCGAGCCACCCTATAACTCAATTCAAAATGTTGTATGAAGTTGGAGTATATTGGAAAAATCATTTGAATAACCAAACTATGATATGCTATCAGTCCATGAAGACAATTACTATTGATTTGAGTCGTTTAGGTAAGTGTAGGCTAAAAGGTTAGAGTTTATACGATTGTTGTGACCAATGATTGGAGATGTTTGATAAAGTAGATCCAAATGGATCCCAATGGTACAGACACATTTATATGATGTTTTAAAATTATCTTATACATTTTCTTGTACGAATGAATTCTTTCTTTACGAGTCAAGTTGTCTATACTGGATCCTTTTTACTACGACTATTACTGTTACTAATTCTAAAACTCTGGTGTCAATTTTGATCATTTTAACTTGGCGTAGTTGATATAATATGGCAAAGCAGTGGAGCAACCTTAAGAGATGCAGTTGTGTTGTAGCTGGTGACCAACAATAGGTTCATACGTCATTTGTTCCTTCAGGGTCCTGGAGCCCATGTCTACTGCTGGTTTGAAAGCAGAGTTATTCAACTCCTCTAGGTGGAACTTCCGTGTCCACTAACCAGGTTAAGGCGCCAGACATTTGTAAAGAACATCCACACCACGAGAAGCCAGTGATCAGAACTTCCTTAACAGTGGATGTGTAACGTGTGGATATGTGAGAGCATTGCGAGAGGGTGATCTAATTCTCTCAACCTTCGACCGTGCCAGGGCAGTTGGGAGGAAGAATATCATATGTAAGTACTGTTAACGTGAACGATTAAAAAAGTATTACCCAATGCAAGTCGACTTTTAGTAGTTCTCTGTTAACAGATATCAATCAGTGGCAAGATATTAGATAATTCATAAACCACCAGAGACGTAAGAATAAACACTGACTTACTTCTTGCTGAAGATTTTTACACTGTTCAGCCAATTTCTCTTTTTCTATTAATAATGCTTTGCATTGTTCCACTGTCTTACATAACTGCAATAGATTTGAAATATATATAACAGTAAATAATTTTGATTGATGATTGCTTTACGAATAATGAGACTTAATTAATCCAATAGAGTCAACTCTTAATATGTCCTTCCTTTATTGTGATTGGTCACATATTATAGTTTATCATCACTTTTTGGAGGTTCCTGGAAACTCAAAACTATTAAAATAACTTACATTGTATGTAGAGATTGTCTTATGCAATATGACTTTAACATGTCAATAATACGCTCACTAGAGCATAACTTTGAAATCCCAGTGAAAATTCATAACTCAAGACCAACTACGTCGGAAATAAGAAATCTTGCACAGATGAAGCAGGGTGAGTTCAAAGTGATGCACCAGTCGCAAGACTCGATCTTTGCGGGTTTGATCCCTGAAAAACTGGTCAGTAGGACTAGTTGAGAAGTCACAAACTAGGATGAAATAACTTTCCGGTGCTCACTAATTTTTAACGGTTCAAGAGGTAAGTAACTCTGAGTAGTACTAGTAATCTCAAGATATAAGTAGTTTATGTCAGGAAGCCCAGAATAGTTGTTTGGTCTTTATGATTACCTAAGTTGTTTGTAACAACCGAATAAAGATGATTTTTTATTGAAATACGACGTCGAACACCGATAATCAGAAGGTGATTTCATACCCTATTCATTCCTCCATAAAATTCGAGTTGTCTAACACAGTAACAACATCAACTCTTTTCTTTCCACTGCCAATCACTGTTCATGATTGTTGAAGACTTCATATCAGTCTACATTTAAGCTGCCTTCGCTCTTCTTCGTATTTAGAGCGAGACGGGATCAGTTTTTTGAAATTTTATCAGATCGGTGGGCACCGCTGAAATATATTGATTTTTCTTTATGTTTTAGATATCATACAAAACTACCTCAGGCTAAATAATACTTGTTTCCTAGTTTTTTAATAAAAAAATACACTTCACTTTTTCGAATCATTGCTACATCTTCCTTTTGTGGCTAATCGCTATCCAGTAATACAGATGGTGGACGCGTCCTCAGAGCAGAATGGATTATAGAATTAATTAATAATAAGTTGCAGCGCTGAATACGACGCCTGCTTAGTTTTATTCAATGAATTCATTCCATACAGCTACTAAGTATACATCATGAACAAATTAATTTTGTACTAGTGAATAAAATACTTAAACAGTGAAGCAACTACACACATTATATACCGATTCGTTGCGACTGGAGGCTATGTTTAATGACATGGATAATGGAAAAACACTCATGGAAAGTTGACGTACTAGTTGGCAAATTTCTTAAAACAATAGTAATAATAAATTAAGCATGAATAATGTATTTGTAAAGATGTTCGCGTTAGGCGTTACTGAGGCGGATGAAATGGCTATTTAATGGTTCTAGACTTTCAATGCTTGTCTAACTTAGATCAGTTAGTGATAGCAATAATATTCGACAGTCTCAACAACCATATACTGACAATAAATGAGTGTTTGAAAAAAAAATGGAGCAGATTAATTTGAAACTACATCTCGCTGAACTAAGCAGTAACTTGTAAGTCAAATATACAATAGAATTTATACATTTAAAACTAAATATCACACACAATTTATGTGTCAAAAAGAAACAGTCCATTGTTTCAACTTTAAAGATAGTGAATGTTATCTTCGGTTTCTAAGAACGAGTCTCATAATTAAGATGAAAAATAAAACACATTCTTGAATAATTAAACTTAAGATTTCTATACAAAGAAAGTTCAATATAAAAATGTTTCACATTTTGTAGTGTACTGGTTTAAATTCTAATACTTAGTTTGTAAATAACGATTTGTAATTTTCCATTGTTGATATTCACAACTTTAATCGGACCAGTCCACTTATGACAACATAAACTAATCCATTGAAGCATTGAACATCAACAACTAAAGAATATAAACACCTTAATAAACTAATCATTCTTATATGAATTAAGCGGTATAGTAGTGTTGTGGATGCGGAGGAATAGACCAATAATTATCATGTTAAGTCCAATGGTGACCTTGGACTTTAAATGGACATTTCCTATTGGTCGATATCTGTTCACTTGTTGAATATTGTACAAAATGTTGTTTTCTATTTTATGGTACGATGTGGTATGCTTGATTGGTATATAAACAGAGTATGTTTGAAATATAATGATTCATATCTCCGAGGCTGTGGCTTGTGTTCTGGACTCAACTGACTGGGCTAGACAGGGAAGTGGGGCCAATCGAGACTCTAGGCCGTCTGTACGTGTTTACGTGTCATTGAATCGATCGATAAGTACGCTGCTCTCTGATTTTCCAGCCAAGGACACAACAATTAGCACTGGGTAAAAACCGACAGCAACCTAAAGTCATAACAAGTAGATAATGTATAAGTGTGTTTGAAATGAAAGGTGTTTAGTTCAAGTCTTAATGTAAACATTAACACTAGGATGCAGGCACAACCAATTAACCAGTTCTAAACAGGATGAAACACGCTACTAGCTAGTCACATAATAAATTTATCAATCTCTACACACACACACACACACATAGATATATGATAGCTAGTCAAATTTTTTGAGAATTTATATCCGTAAAACACACAAAAAGGAAAACACAATGAAAAAAATAAGCATGGATACAACAAAATTTCCAACTAAGACTTACACGATCTTCATAATCCATAGTATCACTCATACTTAAACGAGTTGACATTAACTAAATCATGATAACAAAAGAACAGAAATAAGGATAAAGAAGAAATCAAATCAAAACGATTCCCTATTGAATTCATCTATCCATATAGAATGTTAATAATAATAATATGTAATGGTAACAAAGATTATTGTGTAAAGAACATACATTTATAATCAGGAGCATAATCAATGAAAAGAAATGATCAAATCAATAATAATAATAATACAGTAAACAATGAAACTACATTCAACATTGAATACCTTTCATCAGATGAAGAAAGAGAAGTAAACAATTTTAACTATTCAAAACAACTGACGATGATGATGATGATGATCGTAAAGTAAAGAATTTACAAATACCAATCGACGGTCTCTCTTCATCAGCGTTGTAATACATATATAAATATATATATATTTTTGAGTGTGTACGCGTGTGTGTCTGTATACTTCACAGAAAGAAAGAGTACTCAAATTACTTTTCCTTTTCAAAGAAAACAATAAATTCAGGTCAAATCGATAGAGAGTGCAGAAACACACATACAAAAAAAAATAGAACACAATAGAAAAGTAAACACAATACGTAGTACACGTGTGCACATACCTACTGAGGTATACATATCACATGACTAGGAACACACAGATAATAAATGGGGTAGACATGTACTAGTGACATGTATGTTGGAACATATAAGCATTGAATGATAGACACACACACATGCCCATATACATGAAATAAGTAGTATATGACAGGAATGATTATGATTTGAAACGAACTCTAATTTAAAAAAGGCAATTAAATTAACTTTTATGGGTCCATTTCAAGAGAAGAAAGAAAATATGGCGGATTCGGTTCATAGAGTTGAGTACTTTCATAGACTGAGATGTTTCCGATATACATATAATTTATCCTTAACAACCACCTACCCCTAAATGAGACGCTTTCTAGCATAGGATTATGTTAAAAGTAAACTGGATATGATCAAACAAGAATATGCCATCAGACCACGGTGACATTGTATCATGTTGGTAGATATAAACTTTCTAGTTTGTATTCACATGATAGCGAATGTGGTTGGAGACATTGAACAATTTTTTCCCTGAATATGATAATGTAGACAGTTGTTTGTGAAAACTCAGTCAGTCAGCTACAATGTAGGACCACGCACACATATACATCGGTTCAAGTTGTCATACCACATTCTCATTCCCGACCGTTGTAGTTACCTTAACGTGGTGGTCGGGTTTGCCTATCGTGATGAAGCGACCGAGCTATACTGGCTAGAACAACCGTTCTTTAATGTCCTACCATGTCAGACAGGTCGGTTGAAAAGCGGCAAGACTAAGAGCAACAAACCTAAGGTCCGAAGGCGAAGTCGTACTGCTGACTGTACAGAGGTGTGACAGCAGTAAGGTGTTTCCTTCAGACAACCAGCATAACAGAGATGCTGCCTTCCCACAAGGAGGGGTGGGGTTGGAAAAGGTCGACCCTAAAAATAAACACCGCCTTATCTCATGGATATCCGTCTCCGGCGGTGAGGTCTCAACAGGTACGGAGCTAACACGAAAATTACCCATAAAAAGGTCGTGTGTAGCCGACCTCAAGCAGCTGTCCCTTGGGCACTGCGCGGTCACAGTTTTAGGTCACTAAGACTACCTCTAATTCTCAGAAAATAACAAATTCACTTTTCAAAAGCAAGATAAACATGGTAAACTGTCATTCTTTGATTATTTATTTAAAAAGAAATTTTAATGAAAGTCAAAATCTAGCCATATACCATAAACCGACACATTCAAATCGATATACTGATTTTAACTCTGCACGTTCATTCAGTGTAAAAGAAAAAATTTCTACCCCTAAATTCTTTCAGTAGAGCAACCATAATCATTACTTTAAAAGAAGACAAGCCAAAGGAAAAAGATAATACCATAAACAACTTAAGATTTAATAATTTTTCTTAAGAATATTATTGAAAACATATTAAAAGAAAACTATCCTTCTTCAAATAATAATCTTAGTGAAAAATCCTGGATTGGTACTGTGGTTTTACCTCAGGGTCAACGTACGACTGAAGAATTACAAAATTAGATCTTTCTACATGATAATCAACACTCTAAGAAACACTTTAGGTAGAATCAAAGATCCCGTTAACATATACAAATACTTGTGTCTAAATATTAGGTTTCCGTGAGATAAGTCCAGGCTCAGTAGAGAGAACTGTATTCTACAAGCAGCCAGAAGCACGAACAACAACAATAAGCACAACTCAGGTGTACATATCCAGCATACAAATGTCCTTGATGGACTTTACAAAATAGTATGATAAAAGCGACAACGAACCAATAGCATTCAAGGTCCTCACAAGTGAAAAATACGACATGAAGGTGAAAGTGGGTGCTTTTGGCGTGAAAACAATACCAAATAAATTTAAATTCACCCTAATGCACAAACAAGTGGCTATCAAAACTCAGTAAATGAGTGAATAACGCGATGGCGTTTGAAGCAAATGGTACTGGGTTCGAGTCTCAGAGTGAACATCAACTCAGATGCAGGATCATCCAGCTGACAACGCGCGTCCTCCATTCCGCTGCTAGTCATTACCTATCTTTGCTTATAAGGCTTGTGAATTATGGCAATATCGAGGCAGTATGCAAAGTATGCACATATGCAAAAAACAAACAGATCAACCTCAAAGGGAAGATTCAAGCAAACAATACGATGTGAGTTCAATAATATTCAATATCTTTTTGGTGGAGTTTTGTTCTCTGGGCTGAATGGTTTGATCGTGGAGCTTCCATCGTTCTTCTGAACGACATCATCAGCACAAACTTCAGATAGAAGTGAAGTGTTCGAATTTCTCCATATGTGTTTCACAGCTTGTTCTGTGCACCTCGATGTTGATTGGTGCTTATTGACCTTAAATTTGTCATTGTTTAATTCTTTGTTTTGGTTGTGTCTCCCATTGTTTTGATTTTTGTTCCTATATTTGTGCATGATTTTCCTGATTGGTTGGTAAATTGGATTGATTTCAATATGCTTGTTGATTGCTGATTGACCTGAGTGCCAGGCTCCTAAAAATTCTCTGGTGTTTTTGGAGTTTCCTCTGTCCAAGATTTCCACATTTTTTCCAATCGAATGAGGGATCCTCAATCGTCCGTGAATAGAATATACGCGATATTACTGAAGTCTTGAAAAAGACCAGTATACTAAAATTAAGCCTTCTATCGAACACAATCAACACATGTACACTCTATTACTTGATGGGAAATCAAAATAAGACGAAATAAAGTTTTTATATAATTTTTTTTCAAAACAATGAATAAGATTAACACACATACTTGTTGAATCGCTTCCATTATAGCTTGTTGCACAGTTTCTTCCATCCCCATAATTGTTTGAATATAAGTTTGTTTATTATCACAATTTACAGCGCATGCAAGTATTAATTGTAATAAACGAAATGTCGACTCTTCATTTTCATGTTCAGCTTGAGATAAAAGCACACAAAATTATGTCATCATTATCAACAAGATTGTTGGAACAACAATGGAAAAAACAACTTAATCCACATCACACTACTAACTACATGAATCAGTAATATAATGATTCTCCAAGAGTAATATTCCATTCAACTTCTGTGTCATGACGATACGACAGCAGCAAACCGTTAACTACTTATGAGCAAAATGATCAGGATAAAACATAATAAAATTGTTATACTCAGATAAATACATATGAGTGTTCCTCCGCCCCACGGGTGAGGTTAAACCCATCACTTTTCAAAGTATATTTTTTCAAGATCAACACTTCTCAAGACATTGAGTCGATTTCCAAGTAAGAACAACACAGTTTGCAAAATAAAATGAATTTATCTTACTCTGCAAACCTTGTCATTCTTCATCTGTTTAAATTTGTCATGGAATCTGGTTAAACGATTGTTAACTGAGTGTTCCGTGCGGAGTTAACCAGACTAGTAACGAGTTACAGATCAGTTATGTAGCAAAACTTCAAACAAACAAAAATTGAAAATGCACTACGTAATATTAGATGACAGTCCATAGTAGTCAATTGTTTTCACTCCATATGAATATATATGTGAATATCCTTTACCGATACAAAGCTTTCCAATATAGGGGTATATTGATTATTTATCCATAACGTTATTTCAATGTTGAGTGGAAATTCGCAGTTCATGTGAATTATTTTGGTGGAGTTTCGTTCTCTGAGCAGTGTGAATGTAATTATGAAATATTTTATTGTCTTTCTGAACAACATCATAGACAGCACGAATGTGATGACACTGTTATCTTATCTTCCCCACTAGTTCGTACATAGATATGCAGAAAGAGAAGTTGTCTCGAACTAGTTAACGGCTTATTGTGCTACGTTACTTGGTATGTTGAAGACTGAATAGCGTACGTTTGACTTGTGAATGATCGGCCTTGAGAGGAGAGAGGAAAAAGCTACCGTATCACTGACAACTTGATGATTTATTAGCAAGTGAAAACTATAGCAGAATACTTTATCCAACTCATCCAACATGAAAATGTAGGACTAACGAGATCGCAACACACAATGAATACAATTATATTAACCGAGACTATTACAGTACGAAAATTTAATACAATGGTCACGTTTGAATTACATTAACTTTGGAATAGAAGAGAGCATGACAGTAAGTTATAGATTAATCGAAAGCATCTGAATTATAGAGTAAGGTAGATACATGTATATGTTAGTAGTTCACAGATTACGAATTAAGTCAGATAATGCCTAGAAAAATATCTTGAATTGTTTGTCACTTCATTGTTTTTCTTCTCTTCACAACACAAAACTTCAGATAGCAACGAGTTATTCATATTTCTTCAAACATGACTGACAGCTGGTTCTGTTAACCTAGATCTTTATTGGTTATTGTGGACTATTGTGTCCTGTTATCGTTCATACACTTATTTTGATTAAGTTTCTCGTTCACCCGATTTTCAAATTTCTCGAAGTTGTTCATGATCTTTTTACTTGGTTAAAAAATTCGATCAAACTTATATCGACAACATAAGATGTTATTCAATTGTAGGAAGATTTTTATAGCTCACTTTTGTCTGAAGTTTGTGATGATGATGATGATTTCGTCTGGAAGGACAATGAAAGAAGGAGGCAGTTTACTGACAATCATATGATATGTGTGGTGTTTGAATGAACTGATGATTCTTTTGTACTTGTTGAATACTTGATTTCGAATTCTAAGTGCAGTACATTCTTTTGTGGTTATCTAGTACTTGATTGGATTACGTTATTTCTTAGTTCATAATATAATTCAAATACTCGTAATTATCACATTGGCGTCGCGATGGAGCTTATGATGAAATTGTTGGATATACATTCAGATCTTGACGCTTTTAAGGATTACCTTGAAAGGTTCGAAATTCGGGCTATAACCAAGGCAGATGATGAGGATGTTAATATTGTAGCACATGTCCTCACATTCATCGGAAAAGAAGCATATAGCTTATTAAAAACTCTGGCTTTACCGGAAAAGCCCATTTCGCTTTCTTATACAACTCTCAAGGATCTACTGCTAGACTATGTTAAGTATACAAATTTCGAATGCGGTAAAGAAGGAAGATTTCGTAAAATGATTCATGAGGATATAAAAAATTCCACTGCGTTACCACGTCATCCCAACCCAGTGCATATTCAAGGTTATGCAGATAATTCATTCAGGAGTTGCGATGCAGTTCACGAAGATGGACACAGGTTTGGTTAATGTTTGTCCTGTGGCAAGTTCCACTCTTTTAATTCACGTAAATTTCGTAATTCTAAGTGCTTTAAATGTGGTGATATTCGACATATTCAGTCAATTTGTAATACTAATGTTAATCTTATTGCAACTAATATTAAGTCTTGTAATTGTGATTCTACTAAGTCGAGTATTTATAATGATGATTTATCTTTATCAACGATTGCAATAGACAGTGTAGAGTTACATAGCAGTTCACAGTTAAATGAAACTCAGAATTCTTGTGAGACAACGGTTTCTAATCAATCGACCTATCAGATTTCTCATGTTATTGTACCAGATATGGTTTTCCCTAATGACTCATATATTTCTGACGAAATTCCTTGCACATCTGAGGGAAATATGTTTAGTGAACCTACTCATGGTCAAAAACCTGATGCAGTCTTGATAGATGCTGATTTCTCTAATGATCCATTACTCTGCAATGACATTCTTAATAAATTCGAGGAAACTATTTCAGAAGAGTCAAAGCTTGTTGTTCTATCAAATATTATTTGTCCTCATAATGCATATGTTTCTTGTGGGAAACTTGTTCAATGCGAAGCACAAGTACTAAATGATCTCGATTTTGATTACAATTCGGATGATTTCATATCAACTGCTGTTTATCCTTATCACAAAAACACTTCTAATCAATGTGAGAAATATGTTTTAAATGAAACCAGATCATTCGTAACTTGGGAATATGAAGATCCAACATTATTTCGCGGCGGAGGATAGTATTGCGAAATCTGTGCTTTAAATTCTAGATAGTGGTTTCGGTACACAACCAACACAGCGATTGTATACAATCCCAGGAACCAATTGAATCTGTTCCGATTTCGGTTGTTAATACCAATACTAATGAGCACATTCTAGATAATACAGAGTTTTTATCCAATACAATGTCGGACAGACATAGGACAAACTAAAGAAGAAGACGTATAATCGATGACAGACACTTAGACTCTAAATTTAAGCTATGGCGAATGTGGTGTTCGAATGAACTGATTATTCTTTTCTACTTGTTGAATACTTGATTTCGAATTCTAAATGCAATACATTCGTTTATGGTTATCTATTACTTCTTGGTTCGATTACGTTATTTCTAGGATTTCTATTTCATACTATAATTTAAATACATCAGTCGCGCAATTTCGTGGATTGGTTGATGTTAGAAACTATCACCATTGGATGCCGGCTCAGTGGTCCAGTTGGTTAAGCGTTCGCGCGCGAGACCGAAGGCCCTGGGTTCGAATCCCGCTCGCGGGATCGTGGATGCGCACTGCTGAGGAGTCCCACAATAGGACGAAACGGCCGTCCAGTGCTTCCAGGTTTTCAATTGTGATGGTCTAACATCAATTGGTTCAAGATCTCAACATCTAATTATCACAATATGACATTTGTTTTTGAAAGAAATAAGAATGAAAACTATACAATCGACTAATAGAAAATCTTATACACATAAAAAGTGAAAAATTCAACTTACCAATTTCTTGTAGATTTGGAAGGCATTGAACAGATATTCTATCTTCAATTCCCTGTATGAATATAATGAAGAATGTACAATGTTGAATTATCTAAATAGATAAGATGATAAATGACTTAGAACTTTGATTCAATCTCTTTTCATTGGATCATGAACAACATTGTGTCAAGAGTCATTACTAGCCATTAAACATGAATATTATTGCACAAAGTTTATTTATTTATTTATTTGGACACATGAATATTGGTACAAGAGAGAGCCAATATATATACGCCACACAAAACAATGAAAATTCAAGAGGAATACAAAGAAAGAAAAAAAAAGCTAAGGAGCGCAACAACAAAAAAAGAGAGAACAATAACGAAGAGATTGGTGTAAGATAATGTGCTAGTAATCAGGGAACCTAAAGGTACGATCGGAAGAAATCTTTCAGGTAAGGGAGACAAAACCACTTTTTATGAAGAAAGTAAAAGAAGGTTACAGCAGGATCGCCATTGGTTTCTATTCTGAGCCATATCTGATAACGTCTCTAGCCACTGTGTAGCATCATCTCTCAGACCCCAATCAGGGAGTCGTGAAGGACCAACACAAGCCAGTCCTTTGCAGCTTTCTTTCATGCCACGACACCATGTCATGCATTGACCCCCTAAGATAACCACCTGCTTCGGTTTGGGCACCCGGGCAGTATCACAGCCCACACACAAACGATGAACTCTATGTCCATTGCACAAAGTGAAGTTATATTATTTAACAAGTGAGCACTTGTAAAAAGGAATAATTTTTTTTTATCATTGAAGATGCAAGAGAGGTCAGATTGGTTTGATGGAAAATTATTAGAATAGTTAAAACTGTTAAATTGGATGATTTAGTTAAAGTTATATATGATGAACTGATTTCGATTAGACAATTATAGAAAACTGTATCCATGACTACATCAAGTGTTAAACAGACCGATCATTCGATTAGTATTTAATTCATTTACATTCTTAACTTCAATCGTTTGATAATGTTGATCAACTATATTCCAATATGATCAATGCATGAAACGTCACACATCGCACATGAATAATTTATTTAACGAATAGATATGTGAACTCCAGCTGAATAGTCAGTGGTAAGATAGAACTATTGGCTAATGAAACTAAGTATGACATTACATCATAGAAAAATGATAGAGAACAATTACAGTTCAAATAGATGATTTTACAAAGTGTAGTACTTTTTCAGCTAGATTGATTTAATTGCAAAGTTCTGATTGTAGTGACGTAGTACTCATTCATCAGTACAACGTAAATTGACTGACGAGGCTATGAATCTTCATTAGCAGAGATACCTGGACACGTGTTATATACCCTTAACCACTCTGCGTACTTTGAGAAGCAATGTTGGCTGACATAGAAGTAAGTTTGAAGAAAGTAAGGGACGGTCAGATAAAAGTGTAGCATCAGTTAGTGAAATCATTGCCTACTGAACTAAGCAGTGACGTAAACCCAGATGACCCGGTTACAGACCTTAGGTGACTGGTCATATGCTATCTGAAGACAATATGGTAGATGATAGATAAAAGTTCGGAGTGAGTATTGTAAGTGAATTACTCACCTATCCAACGTCACGACCCACATTTTTTTGACTAGATCAACTCACTTTAATACATTATTATTAAGCCTTGGCAGCACAGTTTCTTTTACACACTTATTTTATCACTATAAATAAGTGATTGACCAAGTGTGCATTAGTCACAAAATCAAACTGCTGGAACAGACAACAATGAAATATCTCAGAATAGGTTTCAATAATGCAGATGCATTCATGCCTTGTCTTACCATCCCATCCATAGATCATGGGCTTTGGTATACCTGTATCATCATTATTTTTATTGGCTCAATACAGTGACAACTTGAACCATTTAGCTTCACAATTTTAAGAGTGTAAAAATCATATTGAAACTGTTGTTTGGCAATGAATAAATGATTTATAAAATTTCTGTTTAATTCCAGCGTATGACTAAAATGATACACTCTGTTCACAGAGATTATCAACAATAACCATGTGCTTTAAACGTGAAAAACCCAAGAGAAACTAATCTTATTTACCAAACTAACCTCATTTAGAAATTCAATAACAGCTTTCAATATCTTCTTAAGATTACTGACCTTTAGAGAGAGAAAGGATGGAGAAAAAAAGAATAATGGGGAATATTTGTAGATAAGGATGAGGATGCTGGAGATGTTGTGTGATCCACCACTCAAAGTTGCACAATAATAATCTCACACATCGGTTTCCTAAGTGCATAGAACTAATGGTGAGCTCACCAATCTCTTCACGAGTGCAGAAAGTTGAATGAATTCAGGTTTAGTTAACCCGCTTAGTGGTAAATATCCTAGACTGCAGTGTTTACTATTAGTTATATACACTCGAGAAACCAATGTGTATGATTATTGGTGTACAACTTTAAATGGTGGATCACTGGGCACGTATATTGATGAAGAGTCCAGCCAACTGGGTGAATTAGTGTGCACTGCATGTTGCTTGAACAATGGGATCTTGAATGCACATTGCGACTGCACAATATACTGAGGCCGCGCTTGGCTGAGAGGTGACTTTTTATCTATCACAAGATACATCAAGTTGTGGGTCGAGAAAGTGTCTGCTGGCCTATATAGCCGCAAATCAACTGCAGTTGCTGGTCAAAGGCTCAATCCCAATAGTTCAACCACAGTCCAATCCGGTCTAAATAACCGGTTTGAGACGTTGCGATGGGTTGTGTTGTTGTCGCGGCTAACACAACTGAACCATCAAGCCCAGAGTACGCAACATCTCTAAATATATCCACTAGGATACTTGTTACAAAAACAATGGAGAATTTCAACAAGGAAATCTTTTTTTTAATTTACACTATGGACTGATACTCATTGTGAGATTTTAACACTTGTAACGGAAACTCAGAGCAGACCTTTCCTAACCTGGTATTTTCACTATGAGAAGGACATATCATTGCAGATTATGGTTATCTAAAGAAAACACCTCACTACGGTTAAATCCCAATACAGTCAGCAGTATGACGTTCAACTTGAACATTAAGTTATTGCTTTCAGTCTTAACGTTTTCCAATCGACCTCTGCGTAGCACAGTAGGATCTAGAGGAACAAGTATTCGGCCCAATTATAGCTTTATCAGATCATCACAATACTCAAGTTCAACCACCATGTGCCAAGGTAGCAATCAACTACGACCAAGTCAAACGTACGATAATAAGTTTGTGAAGGTATATACACACATTCACAAGAATTACATAAATCACCTTCAGCCTCCAATTGATTTCAGCATCATAATTTAATTTTTGCAACCATTCATCAGTGAAATGATTTGGAGCACTGAAATGAAACAGAAAATATAAGAAAAAATTAGGACAATTTGAAATTCCTATGATCATAGGAATCAGACATCATTTATTAAAAAAACACATGAAAAATACTGTCATTGACCAACCGATTAAAATTGATTGATCATTGAGTAACGGCAGTTTTAAGTTTGTTCAATGCGATGTAGCCACTAATCTAAATGACTCAACATCGTATGGGTTATGTTTTGATGTTAGATAATTAGATATTCTTGGTGGAAAGACCTGTTTGAACAACATTTCGCGCCAGTTGGTGTTCATCAGCAAGACATACTTTTAACCTTGTAGAAACTGATGAAACGTGTGTGACTCTAATATGAGTCATCCACTTTTACAGTCTGAGACGTACTCACTTAGCTGTTCTGACATTTAATTCCAGTCTCGACCATCTGGAAAGTATTAACCATTACGAATAAATTCACACTAGTGGCTATCTGGACTCAGTAGCTTAGTGGATAACGTACTGGCTTTCAAAGTGTTAGAGACTGAACTTTAACTGGAAATTAGGTGTGAGCCACATCCGAAGTGTGAAGGTTGATGATACTACCCTGATAACTATACCGATGTACGCAGAGTGGAGTTTGAATCCGCAGCTTGGAGGTTAAAAGTCGACGACTTTAAACATTGACATCGCAGATCTACTACTATACACAATCTAAATATAGCATAACCATTCATTTCACAAGTCTCTTTTTAATTTAATCCGTATTTTATAAAGACTTTAACAAATAATATGTGTATACTGCTGTATAAATGTTAATTGTCATTGTAACGTTTTACGTTCACATAGTTACACACACACACACACATACACTCAATACGTAACTATGGCAACTCTAGATAATTTGAAGACATGATAATTTTCTTTTTTTAAAAAAAAGCCCAAGTGAACTGCTTACCAAAAATAAAATCAATACAGCATTAACTCTATGTTCACTTGTAATGAATAATGAATGTGATCTGAATATCAAATTAATACTTTTAATAACTTTATTAAAAGTTTGTGCGTGCTCGTATAAGTAAAAGTGTAGTAGAATAATCCAAAATACAAATAAACGGAAGTTCAGTACTATGGTTGTGATGATGATAATAATAACATTGTTGATAGAAATAGTTCATTATGAACTTGATATATCTTTGGATTAAATTAATACTAACCGATCTGTTATTTAGGACAGAAGTAGATGAACGTAATCAGTTCGAACATTATGAAACGATTTATTGCTAGTTGATTGATTATTCATCAAATGGGAAACTTAGATTGATATCATAAATGGATAAATGCTAGATCACCAATGAGACCCTCGACGGCCGTTTCGTCCTAGAATGGGACTCCTTAGCAGTGCGCATCCACGATTTCACACATGAGTCTCAAACCAGAACCTTCGATGTCACACGCGAATGCTTAACCTCTAGACCACTGAGCCCATATTCAACCATGTTAATGTTTAACTTCAACCAATCCACGATATTACGCGATCGTCCATCATTGTTTTCAGTGAGTAACTGTCTCACAACAGAGTGAGTAAATCTACAACGCTTCTCTGTGCCAGATTTATTATTCGAGCTAGTGACTGGTGATTTATTATGTAACAGACAATGCTGTCTCTTTGAACACCTATCAACGTTACAAAGCCTTGTCAATCTGCATTCACTAGTTATATGTCTTTGCCTAAGACAGCATTAAACAAGATTTGTAATGTTTCTCGAGCGACTACATGTGATTGTCTAAACAACCGTTTTAAAATTCCTCCAGCTTTCCGATAACTAGCACAAGTGTTCATCTTAACACATCATTCGATGACTGCATTCACTTTACTCCTGCAGTAGTGTATCAAATATAACAAGCGCTGAACATCACCAATGACCGTTGACGCTACATAGGTTTCAAAATGGCCATATAAAGTTTCAGTACACCTTTGGCTGTCCATCAAGGTAATTCAGTTCTACCTTCATAAGTTTTAGACCGACCACAACAGGCCACAGTGACTCATAGTGGCCTTAAGGGTGATCAGCTTTATTAATTCTACCATCCAGATGATTTTTTGAGTCTCTTTTTGTTCGGTTAAATAAACCTTTAACGATGGGAATCATGAAAATAACCTTATTCTACATTATCATCACTATTCTATATGGATTTTGGAAGAACAGAACCCCCAATGTTTGCATGGTTGCTTAAGGGTCGTCAGAGGACTATTCATTTTGTCACTATCTTCACCAAAAAGAAATATTCTAAGTCACCAAGTGAATCGCTTAGTACAAGATCAATCCCTAAAAAGTTAGACGATGAAAGTGTTATCTTTAAAAGCAAGTATATGACAGAGTTAAATAAAAATGTGAAAAGCGGATAGCCCAAGAAACACCATTGACAGAAACCAGGCTGGACGACAGTTCGCCATAAGCTCAGACTTGACCAGAAGTGTTCGAGTAGAGAGCCTGTACAAGGTTAGCATACTTGTTTGGTACGCCCTTCAATGACAGATACCGCCATATCATCTCACAATCAACACAGTCGAACATTTCCTTAAGATCAGAAAATACAACTTTCGTCGGACGTCGAAGAGTGTGTTTACGTCCTAGAACCCGCCGAAGGGCGCATATTCGGTCTACGCATACACATCCAGATCTGAGACCAGTCTGGATTTCTGGGATTGGCTCTTCGCGATCTCTAGTTAGACGTCGAAGTATTATTGAGGTCAATTTTTTCGATAATAAATTAGTTAACCTGATTCCTTTGTGATCGTCATAATAGGATTACTGTCCGTCTATGTAAACTGGGAAGGTCAGAAATCGAGACCAGCCAAATGGGATTACACCCAGTAGTCATATTCCGTACAAGATTTCAGTTGATCTAACTGCTAAAATTGGACCACCATCCTTTAAAATCTCAAAGGTTAGTCCATCAGACTATGCTGCTCTCTCCCGCTTTCGATTGTTTATAGCCTTTTCAATCACACTAAGAGTTGAAGCACTTACATAAGTTTCAAACCCAGGTTGCTTGGGTTACTGAAGGCCAGTTGAACTGTCCCCTAAATTATCCCGTTCATCAGTTAAATTAACTGGACTGAGAGTGAATAATGATCCCGTTTTTTTCCGAAATAGTCACACTAACAGCTAGTTTTAATATTCATTTCCTCGATAATTTTGCTGCTGCCATCGAATCTCTTCTGATTTCACTACCCTCCACTTTACACAATCTTTACGCTGGCTTTTGGTCAACCTTCTTTTGGGCTGTCTCCGCTCATTATTGTGATCGGAGCCAGGCTGGATGAGTTTCCGAGTATTCTCAGTAAAGTGTGACAATGAACAGTGAATGTCAAGCTTTCAAACAGGGTTGGTGTATTCAGATGATTTTCATCTAGGAGATTTGAAAAATCGTTGTTCCAAGACAACGTACTCTAAGTCTACTCCGTGTATAATGAAAGCCAGAATGGGTTTATTTTGGTCTCATACATCTTTGGCGTTGTCTTGACGTTATTCGAGCTGTAAAAGACGCGTCCAACAACACAACATTGCATCTAACTCCTCTTAATATAAGTGAGACCAGGCTTATTCAATGTAAGGATGCTCAGAAACTCACTCTATTCAATGATCGTTGTCACAGAAGTCCAGATCCAAAAATATGTATTCGGATGAAGTGGCAGTATTTACACTGATAACACCATTTACAAAACATTGACTTCAGTGGTTTGAATAATATATTTAATGAATATTATTAAGAACCTTCCACAATTTACGTCATTTTCGAACTTCGAGGACTTAGTACTCAAAACTCAAAAATGGTCAGTCAATGGTATGACTTCACGGAATCAAATATAGCTGTGTAAAACTGGCTCATGTTGTCCCATAACGACTCTATGGTCGGGGTTCTAGAGATAGTGCAATTCAATGAATTGAGACATAGTACTAATGTAACTTACCATTACGTTTTTCACAAAAATTGAGCTTCCTTAACTGAATTTTTTTTCTTGGCTGTAATTCTAGCTGAACTACTTTTCCTATCAATAACTGTTCTTATTCGTTTATTGGTTGGCTGTATTAGCCCAACCATACCATTATTTCTTCACAAACTATCGTCTTAGTTCTATAGTTAACAGTCAATTATCCAGATCACCAAACATGTGTATATATGTGCAAAGATACAATGCTTTAAAACCAAAAGCTTTTCTCATTTGAGCAACAATTCTGTCTTTTTTTTCTGTAATTATAATGGAATGTGACTCGAAAGTTACGAAAATACTAAGCTGCCAAATAAATATGAATTCATGACGCTTTACAGTTATTGGAAATTGTGTTAATAATCAAAAGTCATTTCTACATTAACAATAAAAATATACATTACTACTATTAAACTGTTGAAGCTAGTCGGTAGCAAACCCTACCTGACCTAAATCTCGTGCTAGCTGACACTTGGAAGCAAGATATACTTGCAATTATGAAGGAACAGGCGCTCCACATGGAGTTCAAACTCGTATCGCCAAGACCCATGGTTTGAGGCATTACCACTGGAGAATGATAGGTGGTGTGAATTTGTATATACCATGGGTCGAAAGTTTCAAAAAAATTATAGGTATTCATTATTATTGTTTTAATTAACACGAAACATAGGTTCAGGATTTCCTGCCGTCTACCTTAAGTCACCTGATATCGCAACATAGTGCACACAATGTAAAGTTGCATAAATGAGTGGCTACATTCCGAATTAATCAATAGAATTCAATCACTACTGAAGGACTACAAAAACAATAAATCAGTCACTATTGTGACTAATCAGTATCACATAAAATAATACTTACATGGTATGCAAAACTTTACCTAATACAATCCCATCCGTAACATTATGTATAGAATAAACATTTGTTGCTATGTTAAAAGTCCTCAACTAGAAAAGAAAAAAAAGGTTTTAAAAAATTACACAGTACAGTGCAATAGAATATACCCATTCAAAGAGATTTTCAATCGGGAAATTTAGAGACATTCGTAAATATGAAGCAAGAATGTCGATGTTACTGAGAGACGTTTAGCAAACAAATGAAATCCAATAACTTGTTTGAAAGAAACGAACAACCTACAATACAGAAGAATGTAATAACAATTGTAAAAATCAGTATAAAAAAAGTTTATAGAAATTACTGAATTTGTAATATTACAAGAGGAACTTGCCTACATAATGGTGTGTTATCGATAGCAGTGAATGATGGTCGCTAAACATCATCAACTGACTAAAGTTAGAAGTGTGAACCAACTGATACCAACGATGAAAGCTCCACGACCAAACCATCCAGCTCAGAGAACAAAGCTCCATCAAAACCAACTCATCCGTTTAAAAACCGAATGTTCGTTATAAGCGCAAAGGTATATTGACATCTCATTTGTGTGTACACGAGGATACCGCTGAAAAACCAAGCTGAAGCAGGGAAACGTTCTGAGACTGTTTCTTACACTTTCTGACTAAAGACAGTAGCGTGACTTCAGAAGACGCAGCTCGATAGTAGCGTCTAGCCGAAATGTGATTGTATGCAGGGGTGTTGTTTGCGAAATTGAGAGGACAAAATGTGAATGTTTGCTGTTTTACCGGGTTGATGGATATAGAGGATCCACCTGAGGTAGTTGGAAAACCATGATTCAAAACCAATAGTGTGAATGAGCTCCAGGATCCTGAGGGAACAAATGATGTATTAACCAATTGCTGGTCATTGGCTACCGAGGGACTACATCTCTTAACGTCGCTCCATGGTCTTGTGGACTAGACCTTTAGGTCAAAGGCTCGCAGTGTGGCTGCCTAAAGAAACTACCTGCTTCGGTCTGGGTACTAAGGCAGTATCCCAGCCCTCACACAAATAAAATGATTTGTGTGGCGCTTGTATATTTGATGTCTCGTTGAACCAATGTTTGTGCTTAAATAAATAAACAACTAGTACGGGTATCAGATAGACTACAGACGATGATGTTGACATTTTGTAAGAAAATAGCCAATCCAATCTGTTGTCCAGTCTGCACCACTTTGAGAACGATAGAGGAGGCGAGTTTGAATGACATACGTGGTTGACGTCGACAAATTGGTAACACCTGTTGAAGCTAAAATTCAAACCGAGCTAGTCTCAACACTAGCTATTAACCCGTCGGAAATCAAAGATGAGCATTAGCTGCAGTCGCATGACACCAGGAAGACTGAGAGCAAAGTCCCTTTCGACTTCGCGAAACGTCCCACTTACAAGCACTGCATTTCTACAAGCTTCTTACAACTCATTGGAGCACGTCGGTATACTACAGTAATGGGTAATGGTGGTGTGAATCTGTTGCCTGGAGAAAAACTCTTCGACCTTGAGTATTCGAATAATTTTGTCTTAATGTGCGATAAAAGCCAGGCCACACAATCCGCACTTAGTCAGTGTCCGTAAGTACAGCATGGACTTTGCACCTTCCAAATCGAAAACACTTTTATAAGACTGACAGAAGCCTGTGCTTGTACTCATTCTTGGCGACGACCAGTTAGAGGTAGTTGAAAAGTTCATGTATTTGGGTAGTCATATATTACTACCATTCATGTAACTACTATGGATTTGGTAATCATCTTGTTGTGATAATGAGGTGGCAATTTGGACCGATGCATATATGTGCCTGGTCCTACATTGTAGATGGCTGACAGTTGTGGTGGCATGAGTGATGAGATGAACTAACGTATAGTGAAAACCAGAGCAACTTATGCTAATATGACTCATCTTTGTTGCCTTAGTGATAATAGTATGTCTGTGAAAAAATGGATCTACAATGACTCAGTGAGAGCAGTTTTTCTCTATCCTGATGAAACCTAGCCTCTCTGAGTTGAGGGTGTTAAACAACATTCGACATCTGGTCACCATTGTCTCCGAAGGATTGCTGACGTCCACTGACAATACTATATCAGTAGTGCAGAGGTTCAGCAATATGAATTCAGGAACAGCGATGATAATTTAATTGGTATTACCACATTGCAACACTGAGTTTGGTGGCTTGGATACGTCCTAAAAATGTCGTCCCAGCGGATTCCACATCGAGCACTATTTATTTATTTAAACACATAAACATTGATACAACGCAGTGAGGTTAACTGAGGTCTTAGGTAGAATTTGGGAGCTAGACGTAATCCCATCTGTCTGGTCTCAATCACTGATTGTGCCAGTCTATAAGAAAGGGCAAAAGTCCTCTTGTGACAATCACAGAGGAATCAGTTTGACTAATATAGTGTCTAAAATATTAGCTTCAATAATACTTCGACGCCTTTATTGCTATCGTTCTACTGTAATATATTAGTTTCGATTATTTGCTGTCCGCATCTCGAAAACCATAGGATTTTGTGCACTGTTTGAGTATCGACGTAATCTCACAGGCGACCGATCAATAAATGAAAACCGGTAGTTTCAACCCTGTCCACCGCACCTCACGACCACTATCGATTTCCTATGTAAAGGTCAATGGGTAATAACTTATGTCCACTGTTCTCTCTTTTCTATAGATGATGAACATGGAGATGAAGAACCTGGTGAATCAGACGGTTAACTTGTTGGTTACCATATTTCTACTCATATGAGATTGCAGCCGATGATCCAACACCGATTTTGATTATCACATGGCTGGAATAACTCGTGCTTATGGTGAGAACTTCACTTAATGAAGCGTTTACACTAAGCGTTCAGAATCCTATGTGATCAGTTTTTAGCGCACTTCTCTGAGATTTGTTTCCTAGCCTTGGTTTTTTATTACATTGAAGATTCTGGTTAGAGGCTGAGAAGCATGACATAATATTAATATATGAAGGGGTCACTTCTATTGTTATATAGTATTAACTAGTGGAGGAAATGCTATCACGTATATTATTCGATAGAGAGTCCAAAATGGAAAGTGGTGACACTTAAAATATGGGGAAAAATATGGCGAGACTCTAATTAAGGGACGAGCCAATCAGAAGCATTCGAACAATTTCAAGGTCACGGAACCAAGTTCAACACGCGATGCTAACATACGATCGGTTTACAGCGGATTTTAGAGAGGAGGTGATTAATGAGAGGCTACAAAAGATGAGACGGCGAGACTAATTTAGGGATGAGCCAATGAGAAGCGTTTGGGCAAATCCAATTATTAGCCGATCAGAAGACAGTATAAAGTAAAAATATATTACAAGAAAGTAATGAATTACAGTGGATATTCTTCTTTTACATGATTAAAAACTTGTAAGGGTTTGATAAAGGCTCAGAAGTTCTGAATTCATAATGAATACGGTATAGAAAGTCGTCCATGGGGTTAGGGTTAGCGTGCTAACATGCGATCGGTTTACATCGGATTCTAGAGAAGAGGTGTTTATTGAGAGGCTATAACCCTAACCCTAAACTCTGACTTTAACCTCTAACCCTAAACTCTAAAATCCCTTTTAAACCAATCGCTTGTTAGCACCCTAACCCTAACCTAACCTTAATCCTAAACTCTAACTTTAACCCTAACCCTATGGGCGAGTTTCTATACCATATGCATTATGAATTCAGAACCTCTGAACCTTTATCAAACATTAACAAGTTTTTTAATCACGTAAAAGAAGAATATCCACTGTAATGCATTACTTACTTATAATATATTTTCACTTTATACTGTGTTCTGATTAACTAATAATTGTCAAGGTCATTCAACATTAGTTCAAAGGTCGTTCCTAAATTAGTCTCGCCGTAAAATATATAGTGAATTTTCATAAGATTGTCAGCCATAGTTGACAGATATATTGATTCCGTACGCTTGAAATGATGACCGAAAAAAATCCTAATTAGGTTCATTTCAGTTGATGACCACATAAAGGACGTATGACCGCCATGCATTGATGATGACAAACATTATTAGGATATCGTGAGCGTCCTGAAAGACATTTATGTGTATCGACTTCTATTGCTGCTAGCTACAGACAGACATTTTGTTATGAGAACTATTAGGAAAAACTGTACAAATGAGAAAACGGTACTTTTTGTCAATAATATAAAAAAGCCAACTTACCTCAGTCAGTCAGAAAGTAACCACCCATAACGAACATTCCGCTCAACTTGATTTAAACAATTCTCTATTCAGTTCCCCTAATGTGCTGTCGTTAACATCGAAAATCACTCTATAACGTTAATTTTTGATATTATTCCCTCTGTAAATATTTTAGGCGATTTTGTTGTGTTCGAAATACAATACGTGTATAAGGAGCTTGTGCAGATGGATTGTCAGTGTAGCGTTATTGAGATTGTGTTTTAATTTACATCATGGACTTATCAATATTAGCCACCATTGAAATCCTGGAAGATGTGGACAGCTTTTTGTCTCCGTATGAGACTGCTCAACACGTGGGGCCGGAATTCAGAACGTTTGCTCTGGCGCGCGAACGCTTAAATTCCAAACCACCGTCATCTAAGGGTGTTAATTTCTAATCGGAGTGGCCATCTTCCATTGTCTTCACTGGGTAACTGTCTCACTCCCGGCACAGCTAGATTCCACTGTTCACGGCTTCTCACTCGAACTCAGAGAACTACTCATCTAAGATAGTCACTCGTGAACACTGGATAATTATCAGTGTGTGGGTTGCAAATATTGCTGAGTTTCAATTGAGATCATTAACTAATTCGTGTCCGATCACCACTGAAAACCCGCATTGATTAGTCTTCTCACGCTTCTTTCCTTTTTGTTTGATTTCAGATATTTACTCAGCTCGACTGCGGGTATTCTAGTTTCTTAAATGAACTCAATCTGATCAATTCGGCAGCTCTTTGAGGGTTTGCATATCTTGTTATCTGAGTGAGTGGGATTTTTACAAGGCTCAAAGGTTTCTGGAAGAAGTAGCAACTATATTACCGAGCAGAAGTTTGATTGGTTTCAGTATAATAAATCATGCATTTGAGTGAAAATTGTTTAAAAGGAGACCACATCATCGAGAAGTTACATTAACACACATCCATTCGGAAAACAGACATATATTTGTAGAATTATGGTCCACTTCGATATTAGAACTGCTCTAGTAATAGAACTAATTGTAAAATTGTAGATTTGCTTCGATGTAACTGCCTAATCTATAAGATGTTACGTAGAAGTGACATCATAGTCTGCCCAGATTCACTGCGTTGTAATAACCACCAATATATAGTGAAGAACAAACTTAGATTAGAGATAGAACAACATATTTAATATGGACGAAAATAAGGCCACACCAGCATAGCCATGTCATACCATCCGATCAACTCGAATTTGTGGTGGTTCCCAAACAAAAAGAGCTTACACAAAATATATTGATACACTAGGTTAATAGTGATATACCAAAATAAACCAATAGTAAAGAAACCTAGATGCCTGTCCGTCAGTAAAAACCAAAGTTAACAAAATACCGTTAGCAATACAAAAGGTATATTAAACAAACAGACACTAACAGTTACTAGAAAATGAATGTTACTTGTGAACTGCCTCGTGAGAACAACGACCACAAAGTGAGCAAACTTGATTGACAGGTGTTCCTCTGCAAGTGACTGCACCAATGACGTAATGAGGAAGACGGAGTCCAATTGTATTATACAATAGTAATCCGCGCCAAACGTCCAACGTTGAGTCGGAAGGCCTATAATGATGTTATAATACTTTTATAGTCTTCAATCAAAACGGTAGCCAATAAAACAGAACGAACAGCGTAGATAGTGTTTTATATTTTAAACAACGCGGTAGTAGTATCGTATATCATTCATCGAAGCAATTATCATCGTCTTTTTACCAAGTGATACAGCGAAAAAAACAGATATTGAATAAAAATGTGGTTACAAATAAAGTGTGACAAATCAGAGAAAAAATGTGGTTTTTAATTTTGTTGTTACGAGAATCACTGAATTTATGTCACCATAAATTAATTCAATTCATTATTCCCGCCTTCTCCATCGTTTGGTTTTTCTACGAGTTGAATGTTGAATATCCATTTTCCCATTCGCCTTGTGTTCAGCCTTGAGAATTGTGTAGTCAGGGCCCAATGCCACTAAATATTCTCCATATGGTAAACAAAGTCACCTCCAAACAATCAGTAATTCAAAAGAACGACTGCTGACCACGACTGTCAAGCAAATCTTTTATTTTTTAAAGATACTATAAGGCATTCTGGAGTTTTAATTGTCCTTCATATCTAAAATCGAGTATACCTAAACGTTAAAGTATATTCAGGCCGTTTTCAGTCTCTAAGGACGTGTATATATTACCGAATTATTATAGTATTCTAATTGTCGTATGAATTAGGAATTCCAGGATTAACGCAATTGAATTAAGAAGACACAGGCACCGACGAATGTATTGTATTTAGAATGCAAAATCAAACATTCAACCAGTACAAAGGTATCATTGGTTCATTCAAACACCACATCCGCCACAGCTTAAATTGGAGTCTAGGTGTTTGTAATCAATCGTACGTCTTCTTCTCAAATTCATCCTAAGTCTGTCTGACATTGTATTGGATAAGGATTCTGTATTATCTAGAATATGCTCATTAGCATTAGAATTAACAATCGAAAATGGAACTGACTCACCTGGTTCCTGAAATTGTATTTGATCTACATGTCGACTGTGTGTACTTAAGTCATCGATGTCTAGAATTCGCACCATCGATTTTCCGACATTCTTCAGAACAATACCCGTAGATGGTCGAAGATCATTTCCTCGATAGTATGTAACTTCTGCAGACTCCAAACATCTCATATTCGACCGAAGAATTCTTCCTTTCAATAGCTTCGCTGGAGTCTCCTTCGTCACCCAATGTTTGGCATTTCTATATTGCAATAGAAAGGTATCTACACCCCTCTCCAGCTCATTAAATGTTGAGGGGGCTATAGAATCAATAGCAGTCTTTAATGTTCTTACAAAATTCTCTGCCTGACCATTAGAACACGGACGTCTTGGAGCAGTAAATAGATGTTTGCACCCTATACCGTTCAACCAGGTAGTGACTGCGTCTGCAGCAAAATGTGAGCCATTATCAGTCACCAACACCAGGGGAACACCTTCTCGACTAAACACCTTTCTTAATGCTTGTATTGTGAAATCAGAATTTGGTGAAGTTGTGAAAAAAACTTCAGGCCACTTTGAAAAAGAATCAATGACTACTAGTGCGTAGTATTTACCAAGAAATGGTCCACAATAGTCAGCATGAATCCTCTGCCAGGCCACGAGCGATACTGGCCATGACACACACTTCGAAGGATGATTTTTCAACTGATGACATTTCTCACAATTCTTTGCCGTACGACATATATCTGCATTTATCTCTGGCCACCAGCATGTGAGCCTTGCCAAGGACTTCATTTTCTCAACACCTAAATGACCACTATGAAGATCTTCAAGAACAGATTTATGCAATGAAGGAGGAATGACAACACGATCGTTCAAACACAGAATACCATCAGGAGTAGTAGATAACTCATCCCGCTTTGAAAAATAGATAGGAAATCTCCGTTTCAAATTAGCATTCCAACCTTTCCTTATAGCACTGAGTATACATCCAAAATATCTACGAGTTTCTCTAATGACATCTGAACGTCTCACTGGTAAAGGTTGCACTAACAAACAATCCGAAGTATTAATAGGTTTATCTTACAATGACTGTCGAGAAATGTAATCAACATGTTGAATCTGTATGGCACTTCTGTGCTGAACCGTATAGTCATATGCACTCAAAGCAATACTCCATCGCTGAACCATAGCTGCTGAGGAACGTGCTAAGGATTTTTCGGGATGATAAATAAACTTTAAAGCTTCATGATCAGTAACAATAGTGAATTTCTTTCCGAATAAATATTTATGAAGTCTTTTAACAGCCTAAAACACAGCTAATGCTTTTCGCTGAGTCTGTGAATAACCTTGTTCAGTAACAGTAAGTTGGCGTGAAACACAAATAACTGGTCTACCTTCCTGTTCCAAAACTGCACCAATACCCGCCGGTGATGCATCAGTAATGAACACAGAATGCACACTGTGGGAGTAAGTTCGAAGAACAGCATCACTTTGAAGAAACGTTAGTAGACTTCGTAAGCATGACTGTTGTTCCTCACTCCATCTGAATGAATTGGATGTTAAAATATTAAATAAACAATTTGCACGACAAGAAAAATTAGGAATAAAACGGGGATAGTATTGAAGAGCGCCCACTAGTGGACGTAATTCCGTAAGATTTTTGGAGACGGTGCATTAGTCAGTGGAGCTAGTCGTTTCATATCTGGGCTAAAACCATAACCATCAACTAGGTATCCAAGGCATTCAAAACTAGATACACAAAATGAACACTTATTTGGATTCACTGTTATATTCTTCTCAATTAAACGACGCAATAAAGCAATAAGTCTCTGGTCATGTACTACCTTATTAGAGCCATGAACAATGAGATCATCTTGATAAACTTCAACACCTTCAAGATTACTAACTACTTTATTCATAACTTACTGAAATATGGCTGGAGAACAACTTAGACCAAATGGAAGGAAATTGTATTTGAACAGACCAAAAGGAGTGTTGATTGTAGTCAAAATAGATGAAGATTGATCTAAAGGGGTTTGAAGATAAGTATCCTTTAGGTCAACTTTCGAGAACACTTTAGAACCATGAAGTCGATTTAGAATATCTTCAGCTTCTACCGTCGTGCACGTTTGCTTCAACAAACGGGAGTTCAGAGTTAATCTATAAGCACCGCAAATTCTAGGGGTCTTGCCGTCCGACTTCAGTGGCGTAACGATAGGAGTACCCCATGCTGAAGACTGAATTGGTTCAATTATGCCTTTCACACACAAATCGTTTAATGTCTTATGTACTGCTTCTCGAAGACCATAAGGAATTATTCGTCTTTTAAGAAAGACGGGATCACCCTGTACTTGAAGTTTTATAGGCTTAATTTTCATACCTCCACTGCACTTAGCACACATAGCTATCAAATCTTTAAGTAAAGTATCCGAACTTTCTTTAGAAACTAGGAAGGACAACTCCACCTTAAGCCTTTTCAAATTCTTTAAACCCAATATTGACAGTCCTGTTTCGCTAACTAAAAATTCACAAGGTAT